GTAGACTATGAGAGGGTGCTTGGATACAACTTACAAGTATACCGACAAAATTCAATCATTTTAAATTTATCACTTTTCTAATTCAAATTTAACTTAACTTTAACTCAATTCCACTGTATAATATACTTCAAATTAATGGATAATTCTAGGATCCCGTTGGGGTGTTTGGAGGAACCATTCCGTCAAATTTAAACCCAATCTCCAATTGCCACATGTAATTTTGATATACATTCGATTCATAGTATTATTACTCAAAAGGACAAAAAACCGCTAGAATTGCCAACCCAGTTTATCCTATCCTCCTAAAATTGTAACAGTTCAATAAAAAAAATAATAATAATTAGCTTTTGTTTACCATTTTATTTTTAACTTTTAAATACGCACATGGATCATGAAAAATATCATTAAAATAAACGATTTAATATAAAAATATAATATTTTATATAGTTTTAAAAATAAAAATATAAAAATGCATGCATCACTCATGTTTTATTGTATCAATGTTATACTGTTCGAGCTTTTTTTCTTCTTCTTTTTTTTCTAATTTTATATTTTATATAGTTTTTTATACTGTTCGAGCTTAGACAAAGTTAATTTGCTAGTGGAACCAACATGAGCATAATAGCGAGTATTAATTAAAAATATATATGCATATACATATCTTTTTAACTTTTTTTATTTATATTTATGGTTGTATAATTTTAAAGAAAATCTTTGGGAAAAGATCAAAAGTTTAAGTTAGAATTGCTAGAACATACTTACAAGAAAATGATGAAATTCCAATGAAAAATTTTAAATGAAAATATATTACAATGAAATTCTAACTGTTATTCCAATGCTAATATTTCCATTGGAATTATTCAATTGATTCCAACAGAAATTACAATGAAAATATTTTGTTGGAATGAGATTTCCATTTAAATTATGTTGGATTTTGGTGATTCCAACTGTAGATTTTTCCAACGATTGAAATATATGTAGAAATAAAAAATTTTAACAATATTTACACAATAACGAAAATTCATACAGTACTAAACCGTTGAAAAAATGGTCATCGGAATAATAAAATTCTAATTAAAATTTCAACAAAAAATTCTTTCCAACGTAAGTTATATCCTTGGAATATCTATTGGAATTTTTATTTAAATATATTTTTTTAGATTTTCCGTTAGAATATAATATTTTTTTCATATAGTGATATATAATTCAGAGCTAACCAAACAATATAAATAAGCTTATTAATTCTAACAAGTCAAATAAAAGCTCAAATTTTTACGAATAAATTCATGAATATGTCTTAAAAGGATTACTTCATGTTTTGATTTTTTTATACAATAAATGAATAGCCTACAATCATATATATATAAATTATAAATTGGTAAGGTATAAGTATATATGTTTTAATTTTGAGTGAAGTATTTTCTATTAGAGAAGTATAGTTAATGGATGAATTACTTTATATGATATAAAGAAATCCCATGTATATAATTATCAAATTTGTTGAGTCTAAGTGGCAGACTCACACGCTTCGGAATCATATGTGACAAATTTTTAAGCTTTGTTGTTTGGCTTGGATGAGTTTTAATTTATTTCTAATTCGAAAGTAAATAGGCTTGGAATATCTATAAATATACTTAATATTTATGGTCCATTTAAAAGCATTAATTGTGTCTTAATACTATTTTTATTATAGACGTGATTTCTATGGTATAATTTTTTCTCAATGTTTCTCTTAAAATTATAACAAATTTTACTAACTTAAATTATAAATATATTTAGAAGTTGATAAAATTTTTATTTGTTAATAAAATTTTATATTATAAAAATTAATCATGTCTTGATTTGCTTCTATTTGACATCTATATTATACATAAAAAAATAATTTAATAATTTTATACATCTTTATAATTATAACTAAAGTTTCTATTAATATTAATTCAAAAAATAAAATTATGTAAACTAACTTCACTACAAAGAAGTTATCTAATATAAATTAAAAAAATTATAATATAAGATGGTGAGTCGTGTAAGTGCGGTGTCATTTTAAATATAAATAATAATATATTTCTTCAAAAAGGATTTAAAAACTAAAACATTTTTGTTATTATTTTTAATTTTAAATATAATGTTGTTAACAAGTACATGTGTAGTACACGTGTATTAAAATAGTAATATGTAACGATGGTGTGATCTAGTAAAATAATAATCGATTAAATAAATAAAATTTATAATTAAAAATATTGAAGTATATATGTGTTTAAAAATACTTTCAGTTGCACATTAAAATGATATAAATTACTTCCACTAATTTTCCAATTTAGATCTCAATAATTTTCATTTATCACTTTAGTTTAACATATTCATAGATTGATATTTGATTGACAATCAATTGAGAACTCCTTCATTTTTTACGGATAAAGATGAAAAAATAGAAATAAAACAAGATATAAAAGACTTAAAAACTCAAAAGAGTACAACCGAAGTGTCAAATGACACACTGGAACCAGAAAACTGGACCAACTCCCTTGTCATCACACGCAAGGGATACAAACTCCATCAAGGAGGCAAACAACCACAAAACAAAACTCCAAAAGCAGACACAGCTGCACTAAAAGCAGACGAAGCTGCACTGAGAGCAGACAAAGCTGCACTAACAAACCAACAAAAATAAAAAGATAAAATAAAAAAAACAACACACACCTAATATACAAACTAAAATAAAGCCCTCCTCACTACCAACCACAAATCCTAACCTCCTCAACGGAATCGACAACCGACGATAATCCCAAGAACAACAAAATCAATCCCCAACCCTAGATCTAGAAACTCCAAACTCCTAAACACAAAAGGCTATGGCTAACTAGACCTAAAGCAACAAGGACCGACCGTCCTTCTACAAGAATCACCACCGGACAACAACCTCGGGATCCAACAATTGCAACTCCCCCAACACAAACCCGACAACCAGATTGGTGGGAATCGCCCAACACAAGCAAAAATCGAACGACCCCAGGAGAGATGCCATTGTCGGCGCTAGTTCCGACCACCACGACGGCGGCGACCTTCGCCGGAGGTCTCGACCGCACTCCAAGACCGGCAGCCTATCCGACTCGATGAACTCGCCATGAAAGGGAGATCTGAAACCGGGAGGGGGCCTGCCGCCATAGACGCACTGACGAGCTCCATCCCAACGCTGCTCGACCCACGGAGGAGGAAGAACTGAGGCGGAAGCGAAGAGGCACCGGTCAGATCTGGTTTTTTTTTCTTGGGGAGAGAGAGATGTTTTAGAGAGAGAGATATTCACGTACACCAAATCAATATTTAAGGAAGTGGATTTATTTGCAAAATCCAACGCACAAAAAAAATGTAACGGATTGGTACCGTTACGGTACTGTAGAAACTCCCCAAATTAATAATCATTTAACAATCTTCAATTTAGTATTCATATTGCATATATAGTATAAAAATAATTTAATCTAACTTTATAAATGAAATTTTAAGGTATTCATGAAAACCAAATTTAAAAATAAATAGAATAACTATAAATTATCTTATAAAATAATAAAAGCTTAGTTAGATTAATATAAAATAAAATAATATTCCAGTATGTTTTTCCATACATAGAAAATATATAGAAATTAAGCATTAAAATAAATTAAGATAAAACAAATTTTATAAATATTATGTCTCAACTTGAGTTAATAATGCAAAGAGACTGAATTTTTTTGTGATGTTCAAAACAAAAATTAAATGAATGTCTTATTTAAAACTAATATATATATTCAATATATATTGTAAAATTAGAAATGTTTTATTTATACATATCAATTTATATGCTAAATAATTGAATGTTATAATAATAACAATAATAATAATAATAATAATAATAATAATAATAATAATAATAATAATAATAATAATAATGATACCGAAATTGGCGGGTCTCCAGAATTGATCTGTAATTATAATAAAAAAAAGAACTAAAATTTCACGATAAAATTAAAATAAAAATAGCACCGGGTCTCCATGCCGATTTCTGGCCGACCCTGAACTGAAATTGGCAGTTCACAAAAATATATTTTTGTGAATCTGCTCGAGTAAACTATAGGCTAGTTCTTGGCCAGCGGTCAATTGATTTACCTGGCCGGTTTGGAGGGCCGACCCTGCCCGTGGCCATGCCTTTAGTCTAGTTATCATCATCGAGTTATATGCTTAATGAAAGTTCCATGCAGCAACTTGAAGCCCACAATTGAAGAAGTCATTGGCACACCAATGAAGAAGCCTCCACCAAACCTTCTCTTTACACACACATATTGTCAACAAGGGTGTGCTCAATCTTGCCTATAAATAGGCTTCTCATTTCATTCATTCAAATCATCCAAGAGTGTGATCAATCAACCTTGAGAGTGTTGAAACACAACCAAGAAGAGTTGTGGGAGAGTTTGGGAGTTTTTTTGTTTAGAGTTTGTAAATCTCTTGTTTTTATTCTTGTGAGTAATAGAAACTTATTTTTCTCTCAATTATGTTTATGATCTTGGGATGATACCACAACAAGTGGTATCAGAGCTTGGTCTGAAGCTTTCGAGCTTCCGTAGAAATTTCGAGTTTCTGAGTTGTGCTCGAAATTCGATTCCGAGGACACCTTTAGATTCGTCTCGTCGAGACGGTCGCAACGGTATCTTATGGGTGAAAAACGAACATCGGAGCTGAAAGTTATAGCCTTCTGAAATTTTGA